GAAGGTAGGTACAATAGAGCATATACTACCTTATTATAACATTGCTGACCGATGTAGACCTCTTTACACCTGAGTAGAATTATTTACTTCATTAAGGAAACGGAAAACTTTCAGGAAAACCATTAACAGAGTTCGGACACAATAGAGAATGTTTAAGACCAAAAAATCCGTACAAAAAATATAAAGAAGTTCTTAAAGCAGGACATTTTCATTGGGACTCCCTCCCTTTTATATTTTTGCAACTCATTTCCTTTGATCCGCTATAATTAATATGCTATGCGTTAAACAATTTGCTATTCGTTGTGAGTTGATTTGATACCTCTCAATTTGCCCGAAATCACGGAACACACGCAGGGTCAGGAATTTTATTTCAGACCGTAAATAAATTTATAATCTTTTATACAATAGATTAGTATCAAATAGAAAATAAATTCTTAAATGGATGTTTTGCCTCTGAGCATATTTTTCCTTCTACCGCAGTCATAATTTGACATTTTATCTTCGAGTTCTTTTGGAGACAATATTGGAATAATATTGTAATCAAGTGTTTTCTCCAAAGTTGGCCGGCTGTAAATTCATGGCCTGAATAGACCCCCGCTGTTCGTGCCTACCTTTCTTTTATTACGCGGGCGACACTTATGACACGTTTATCGTCTCCCTTTCGATCCTTCGATAAATATACCAATATGAGCCAAGGAGGGACTGACATAAATTACATTCACGTTTGCACCTAAACTAATTTACATTTGGGTTTTATGGGAAAAGAAGTCGTCTACTATTTATTTTTTGTTTATCGACCGTATAATCTAAATGACTGAATTAATATCACCGCAGGCTGGCGACGTTCAAGGCGTTGTTAAACAGGAAATTCATGGTTCATCAAACAATTGTCATGAGCCTGTTTAAAATAAGCCGAAAAATCTATTGTTCTTAAACACTCGCATAAATTATTCCGTAACATCGTTATTCACGAATTCTGGTGTTTTTTTCTCTAAAGAGGGATGAAATCGACTTTCCCCCTTGAATACACTATTCTATCCGTCCCATTAAGATAGCAAAAATGTATTTTGACTTACTTTATTGCAGTTGCTTACTACACTACAGCTTCCTACTGAACACTATTGCTTTAATTAACAAACCTATTTATCTAACACTCTAGAAAAAGCGACCACCAAACTAGATGGCTACTGTATTTTCAGACGTAAGGATTATTGGTAGGAGATCGTGAGAAAAGATAAGTGAGAACTAGAATTGGTTTGAGATTGGTGTGAAATATTATGCAGCTGGATATTGCAACTTCTTTTATAAAAGTTATTTAGGTCGGCATGGATGGAGCAGTTCGAAACTTAGAAGGGGCGTTGACATGGATCTAAGGGATCGTGACTATAGGGTCTGGATTCTGCGGAGACTTGAAAGTTTGGTTGAACCCTACATTTCTGCCATATGCTCACATTAGTTTCCGTGTTGAGTTGTAAGTGAGCATTTTGTTGTCGAGTTAGAATTTAGATCTGTTCGTCTAGTGTTTTAAGTAATCGGTATCGCCGGTTCTATTCTGTACATTTAAGTCGTGCACGGGGATTCCAGGATACAGCCTATGTTAGCGGATCACGTTTTTGATGGAAAGGGGATGAGGTTGTAATAGATCGGAAGTAGAGTGACGCAATGGAAGGTGAAAGGTTTGGGATTTATTGGTGTTGATCGATTCGCCATTTTTTGAACCATTACTCAAGAGAATTTAGGTATGGAAGGTGTGGTAAGCTATAACTGAGTCGGCGTTGGAGGATAGAATTGCAGCGCCATCTGCGTATGTTACGACAGTGGTGTCAGGATGGGAAAGGCTGTCAGCAGTATATACTGAGTACAGTAACGGACTCAGGAGTCTTCTCTGAGGTACACCCCCTGGACAGTGAAAGGATCCGACCAATACGCTAAAGTACTTGTCGCCAAGGTAGGACATAATATAGAGGATAGGAGGCTCTCGTAGTTTTAGAATAAATCCAGGTGCCAGACTCGATCGAAAGCTTATTTGACATTTCATTTGCATCTCTGCAATGACCGGTTGATAGAAAAGAGTTTGGTAACTTGAACGTTGAGTCCGTTATGTAGGCCGTTAGGAAGTTTGTAAAAGAGGTGACTGCCTTAAGCTTTCAGAGCTACCCTGAGTGCCCCTGATCGAAGTCTTTCTTTACATCATAAACCGTAGCTGCATTTCTTCTTCAAAAGAAGAATAAGACGATGTCCACAACACGATGTCTCACCGTTGAACAGTGGAATGGTGACGCCAAAATCAAAATTTTGGGTGTGTGTTTAGTAAGCAGTTTTTCATGGAATGTACAAAGAATTGGTTGAAATGATAGAACAGTTGGAATTTGGAAGGTGGTGTGTTTGGTTGTGTTTAGGGATTGGGTGAACCATGGAAAATTTCCTTGGCGTCGGGAAGAGGTACAGAGAGTTGATCATTTAAAAGGTGATTAAGAAAAACTACGGTTTTGTTGTGAGTTTACAAAAGATTAAAGTGGTAAAGATGTCATATCTAGGTGCTTTCTAGAGATTTTCTTTTTTTACGTCAAAAGGAGTAAAGGGTTTAGTGGGAGTGTGTAGATCTGATAAGGATTCTTAAAGTTGGTCATGCCGAAATTAGGGGTAAATACTGAAGATAGGTAAGAAGCAAAAGGATGCTTTTACTTCATCTGAAGAAAAATATGATCCATATACTGGACGATGCGTAGAATAAACTAATTTGTAGGACAAGATCCTTTTAATCGCAGTTTAATGAGATACGTCTCAATTCAAAATGAAATAAATTGTAATTAAAAATGTCAAGTCTTCTTAAATTTTTTAACACAAGCGAGTTAATTTACTAGTTTCATTCCCGGTTTTCTCTAACCCTTCCCCCCCCAAAAAAAAAAAAAAAAAATCAGTCCAAAGAAGTATGAAGCAAGGCTGTGAAATTCATACTTTTCTGCTTCCGGCGAGATTTTTCCATTTAGATCTGTGGAGAATAGGAAAAAAATCCGTATCCTTGAGGGTTTGATTTATATTCTTATCACTTCTCTATTTGTACGCAACTACTGAGAACACTACTTTTAAAAACAACCGTGTGCTTATATTTTTATTATAGGGAATTCAATCTGATAAAACAGACTCGTTTGGATAGAAGCATTTAAATTCTGACGTCAAATGAAACATGCTGTAAGATCTTGCAACACAATGTTTATTGAATGTATTACTTAATTATTTCTAGAAAAAACCTTAGTAGAAATTATAGTGTATCAAAAAATGAAAAATATATTTTTTTTCTAAAATTGCTCGCCATCTAATGCATTCGGAATTTTTTCTAAATCTGTAAAATATCGATTTTTTTGAAACGACCGCACTTATAGATAGCAAATTTTACAGCGGTTTACACCCCTCTCAGCTAGATATAATAACATAAATGTGGCTTAAATAAAAAAATTATACTTGAAGAAATGGAATAAAACGTTTAAGATTTTTTTTATAGCATCTTTATTTATCACTTATATTGGGTTGTCCGGAAAATAATGCAGGATTTTGGTATTAAACAAAAAAAAAGAAACTAGTTACTTTAAAGCAATGTTCTTTAATCAAAANTGAAATTGACACCCACACCGAAAGCTTGCTGGGCCGTGGAATGATGGAAATAGAAGCCTAATTGATGAGATTCTAAATTCTATCTGAGCCTAAAATTATGTTATATTTATTATTTGCTAACTTAAAAAAAAATAAATAAATAAAAATAAAAATAATTTTTTTTTTAAAACTTGAGGTGGAAGAAATGTGAGGTGCCGGCAATAGCCCAGGCAGCTAGCCGGCCGAAAAAGAAAAAAAAAAACTATAAATTTGGTAATTTATTTCTATGGAGGCACGAATGGATTACCTTGGCATTCTAATCGGTAAAACTTATTATTTGTTCATATTAGTGATTATCATTTGATGACTGAACAGACTTTGAATCTAACTCTCCACCTACCAATCAATATATGTGTGTCTAAGTACAGAGTATATAGCCTGTAATTTTTTGGCCATTTATTTCTGCAGAAACATGAAATGCCTGTTATACCTTGAAATTCCGACCAGTCGAAAACATTTCAATATTGATATATTACACATGACAAATCACAAGAGAATGATTTATTAGAAAACTAAACTACTGTCTAATGTCTCCATTTATGCGTGTATATATGCAGAACAGATATATGACGTCAATAAATGAATAAATAATTGTTTCTGCAGAGGGATGAAATGAGATTTTCATTATATACATGTTATACATAATGAAAAGTTAGTGAATGATTGGAATACATAAACAAGAAATTTCATATGTACATAGAAGAGGAAAAAAAATATTCTGGGTCTTTGTGCCCCATTGGAAAAACTCACATAACGCACACACCACAAATATGGAAAAATTGGTAAGTTTCAAATCATGATATTTAAAAAAAAGATGATTATAAAAATAAAATGCAATAAACCCTTATCTTAATATAGGTAATTAATGAACAACGGTCGAATTTGGTCGTTTCACTTAAGATAAAACAGTATAAATATTTACTTATTGACTTACAGGTGCATTTAGAAGGTCGGCGAGCCTCGTGTTAATGTCCTGTCCTCTCTTGGGCCGCATGAGAAGATAGATGTTTTTAACACCGGGGCATGACCTGAGTAGTTTCTCGACAAGGACTTTACCCATAAACCCCGTTCCCCCAGTTACAAATACGGATCGACCCGAAAAGAAATCAGCTACTCCCTCGTATTCACTCATATTCGGAGTATTTATTTAACTTTTTTTCTTTTTACTTTAAAAATTCCTTTACACTTAAAAGTTAACTAATTAATTTCTTTATTATATATTTATAATATATATATATANTATTATATAATATATATCACTAGCGTCTTTTTTCTATTGTTTTCCACTTTGTCATTTATTTGAGGGGGGTGTGGTGGGCTTTGATAGCCGGCGTGGGATTAGCAACGTAAAGGCCATAGCAAGTCATTTCATCCACATTTCAAGATATCTTCTTCATTCATCCGCTTTGAGAATATCTGAAACAGAAGAGAAATCGGGTTAGGCTGCCACTTTGTTGATAAAACTGTTGATATAAAACAACTTTATAAAAAAAAAAATTAAAAAATAATAATAAGGTAAAAGGATCATAGAATATATATATTTAATTTTGTTGATGAGGAAGAAATCAACAATGGCAATTAATGTGTTTGGGATCTGGTTTCTGGTCAGGTTACCTGACCAGAAACCAGATCCTAAACACATATTCAATTTTAATTCAATTTTTAATATATTCAATTAAAATGTGAAATGGTGAGGAGAGAGTTTAATAAACAGATAAATGCACACAACCGGCCAAATAATTACAAAGGGGAAAGAGAAATTTTTCATGACCCTCCCCTCTTTAATGAACCAACAGTCTTCTTCATAGAAAAGATCTACAGTTGGTTTATTCAACAATCCTATGATTCTTAGAAAAATATTTTCTTTTAAGACTGCGGGATGCTGAAAGGAAAAATCAACAAAATAACACACAGATCAGCAATGGAAATAGCGAAATGGGAAAACAAAATATAAGGTTAGAACGTATGGAAAAGACGAAGCTTCAGGTCTTTCACCTTCAAAACTGGCCAAAATGTTTCATAATTCAAATCCTTGTGTAATATTAAGAAGAAGAAAAAATAAATTTTATTTGGGGCTTTGGGCATCCTTGAATAACAAAAAAAGTACAAAATTCGGCACAATTCGTATCCAAATGAATATATAAATAAAGATTTAAATGTAATAACATAAAAAAAACGAAACGTACTAAATTAAATAAGGGGAAAATTAACAGATAATTAACCATCCTCGGCGTTAAATTGTAGGGACATGAGGTAGTCAAAAAGACGGGATTTAAAGGTGGAAAGGGTTGAGGGGCGTAGGTCATTCCAGAGGTTGATGGAACGGATGAGGAAGGAGTGACTCGGAGCCGTGGATTTGTATGAGAGGGGGTAAAGATCAGAGGGTATGAACGAATTTGTGTCTTTGTTAACAGACTATAAATATAGAAAGGGGACTGGGAAGAAATTGTTTGGTAGAGGAAGGAGCCAAGGAAGTATAGACTGCGAGAGGAGGGAGGAGGTGGTACGGCCATTTCAAACCACAATACATATTAGATTATCTTTTTGGAGAGCACTAAATATGTTCCGAAGAGAGCAGTTTATAATTTCTTTTGAGCCTGTTAACAAGCTCGCTGGTGAGTCCGCCGTAGACCAAACAGCCTTAATCGAAATGGGGAAACACAATGGAGGAAATCGGGAGTTTGGTAGCTTGGTTAGAGTTGTCTTGGGAGATTTGGGAAATGTGTGGTTTCCAGGAAAGAGTTTGATCAAGGACAATTCTTAGGTTTTTGACAGATGAATAGATTTTCGTTTGGTTGTACATGCAATGCGGAGGAAAAGGGGGATTGGTGTTTGGGATCCAAACACTACAGTCTGGGCCTTATTGATATTGAGAAAGAGTCCATTTTCAACAGCCCATAGGCTGATGGTATTTAGATCATGTTGAATTCGTGTAGTATTGATTGGACGGTCATGAGGGGAAAAATAACGATTTGAAAATTATCCGCTAAGAGGTTATTTTTGGCTATTCTTGCCAATTCTGCTGTCCTTTTTACAGACCTGAACATACAAAACTTACAAACCTGACACAAGTGACAAAATTACCCACATACAAACCACAGAAAATGGTGAGATGAGAAAACTCCTCTGACAGACAAAACGAGCGATAGTAAAACCAGAATGATCAAAAATAGCCGAAAGTCTAAAAAAGCCTGCGGTTGAGATGGGACGTTAGTGTCCGAGTGGATCGAGGACACGATAGCTCAAGTGGTAGAACAGCGGCGTATCTAGCCGAAGATCGTGGGTTCGAATCCCGCTAGTGCCATTGACTTTTTTTATCTCAACTAAAAACCTTAATTAATTGTAATATATTAATTGGTCAAGCGGACCACGAAATTAGTGAATTTAATACCCTAAAGGTTTATTCATCTCGCAGATATCACCGAAACCGTTTCATAATTTAACTTTTGTTGAGGTCCTCTGTCCTTTTAAAGGTTTCGAAAGTTTGAAGGTACGAAAAGAGCTAATTTACAATCTTAGTGAAGGGACATAACTGACCAAGTAACACACAGACCAAACACGTCTGTCAGACAAAACCAGCGAGAATGTGAAGGAAAAATGGTCGGAGTCGACCAAGCTGCAAACATTCTGGTGATTTATGCTGTCCTGTGATAGAACGGAAGGCACGTGTTTTTACAACCTGTAAAAGTATCATCACACAGACTCAAAGTATCATCACACAGACTCAAAGGCCCATAACAGGAAAAAAAAAACAACCAGCGAGAATATGAAGGACCAAGCTGAATAGTTATAACCTCGCAGATCTTAACCAAATATTTCTTCATTATACTTCTTGTGAAACATCCTGGTTAGAAGGTCATCTTAAGTCTGAAGTAGATACCCTATAAAAGGACAGGCGTGACCAAATAACATAAACAAACCCATGAGGATTTTGAAATGAAGAAACTCGTTTAAACCAACGAAAAACTGATAATAGTAAGACCAGGATGATCGGAAATGACTACAGATTCATCACCTCGCACACCTCACCAATTAAAATGCTTGTGAGACATTCTGTTAAGATCTGATGACCTTTATGTTATTCCCAAACATGAAGGGGTCGAAGAAGCGTGTTTCGAAAACCTATAAAAGGACAATATTGAACAAATAACAGACGAATCATCGAACACGATGTCAAAATAGACAGGCCAAGGACTATCACGTGTAAATAAAAGGAGTCCAGATTCTTCTGAATTTTGTTTGAAATAAACATAAAAAGATTAATAATAGAAATTTAGAAAAAACAATCCAATTAAAAGTTTTGAAATAGGTAGACTAGGCATAATGGATTTTGATTTATACAATTAGTGTCTACTACATTCTGGGTATGAAGTATGAGTAGAAGAGCATTTGTTCTGAAAAAATTTAAGCACGGAAACAAAGAAATTGTTAACCGTTTGATCTGTATAAATTAATTAACACGATATCACAGAATGCCCCAAAGTATGACTTTCCTTGATCTTCATCTGGTTACAACGTCGAAAAACCGAATTCTAAATATAAAAAAATTGATCAATTCCAAGTCGATAGCTAGGGAATTTATTTTTTATTGATTGCCCCGTGGAAAATAATATGGGAAAAAATGTGCACGTATGCACTTAGCCCGATAGAAAACACGACTGTGAAACCCTTGATCAGATCAAGGCCACTGCGGCATTTCTCTAGACTTTCTCCGCGTTCCTCCTCGTGAACTTGGCCTTTGTCGTTCGTGTGAAAATGGTCCGTTTTTTTTTCTAAACGTAATGATAAATTTAAAAAAATTCCCTCCGGGTAGTTTTACTCCACTGGGTGACGATTGTCGCGACAGAAAACCCTTTAGGTCAAAACTTGGACAGTTTTTGAAATTTTTTCTTTTTTAGAATCGTGATTTATCATTTGCTTTATTGCATCCGCTTATTTTTTGAAAATTTTAATTAATTTTAAAAAAAACTAAATCGATCTGTAGGCAAAAAAATTCATCGTTTTCAAAATACTGCAATGAAATTTGAACTGTGGCCAATGTTTTTCTTTGTAGAAATAGTAAAATCCCTTCTAGCATCCGTTTGTTTCAATCAATAACTACAACTAGAGCAAACGACCATGTTATATAACGTCCTCCACCAGCCAAGAACCCATTTTAGCAGTTTTAGTAATTATTTTGAAACTCATTGAAATAGGTCAGTATTCAATTTTTGAAAAATGAGTAAAATAAAGCTGCATTTCGAATAAAATGTACAAATAATAGAAGTAAAATAAAAAAAAATAAAAGTTTTACTAAGATGGTTTCAATTGTAATTATCGAAATATTATGGATAGTTTACGATTTTCACCCCCAAGGGATCAGAAATGATAAAAAAAAATTGAACAAATTTTAGTTTTACTGGAATATTACAAACTAATAATAGACTTTAGGCAATTGTTTCCAACTTTCCTTGGTTTGCCAAGACGCAGTGGATAGACTGAGGGTTATTTTGCCATACTGCATACATGTAAAATATAAGGGTGAAAAGACAGGTTCATCAACGCTCAGACTCTCTCAGTAAAAAAACAGTTTATATGTAAGCTTTCTTTATAACTAATTTTGCTTTATGTAAGAATGATTATTCAGAGAGCGTGAGATGCGGTCTGGTGTGACATAGGTTTTAGAAAACCATTTTCTCTATCGTGCCAACGTTTCGATCTTTATTGAGATCATCTTCAGAGCTCAAAGTGTTTGTTTTACGTGTAGGTGTGTCATTCTTGTGTGACGTGTCATTCTTGTGTGACGTGTCACTAAACACCACACATTTATGTAAGAACCTAAATATTTTTGTACAGAAGCCATTTGAAATAAGGAAACACTTTGTACTCTACCTGGTCAATATTATAGCTTAAAAATATTAGATGGAGCTTTTAAAAGATTAATCTAATCTGTTTATTATATCTAGATAAGAAGGTGTTATAAAAACCTCGAAATCTGCCCCAGTTTACAATTAATTTTTTAATTTATCGCTTTTAGAATATAAATGTTGGCAAAACGTTCAACTCTAATTTTCTCCTATAGTGCCTGATCATTTCTTTTTATTATTCTGTTAAGTAATTAACAATTTAGAAAATAAAATATTACGACATAATTTCATAAATGGTTACTATTAAAAAAAATGTAAATCAACTATGCAGATGGACAATTATCCATACAACTGTATTTTGAGCAATGTACATAGGTGTGAATGCATTTATTTGTGTGAATGTGTGTTGCAATATTCCGCATGCGCTCGGGGCTGAAATGACCAAAAAAAATGTTATTTGAAAAAAAAAGACATAAACACTATAATTATTGTTATAACATCCAATGTTGTCTTTTTTATTTTATTTTAATTTAATTTTTTACGGTTTTCTCTTAAGAAAATAATCCTCAACTTGCTTATTATTATTATTCTTTTTTTTAAGAGGGTTCGCAACAGCAGAGGTCATACAAACCCTCAGGGTGGCGATGTTTTTGAAAAAAGCCCATTTGTATGTCGGGTTCGAATCAGGGCCGCTGGATTTGAACCCGGGACCTTTACTTTACAGTGATAAGCGCCGTGTCAACGCCTATACCGTTGCGCCCCCCCCCACTTTGCTTATTATTATTAATTTTTAAGGGCGTTTTATTGTTTAACGGCTAATGTCATTCCACGCCCTAACTGATACATTTAAAACTTCTATCTTAAGTGAGTTAATTCCACGCCCTGAAGATGATCTCAATAAAGATCGAAACGTTGGCACGATAAAGAAAATGTTTTTCTTATAAACCTACATCACACCAGACTTCATCTCACGATCCCTAAATAATCATTAATTAACGGTCACTAAACAACTACAAAAAACTACATACAAAAAATACAATAACACTTCTTTTCTTTATCGTCCTTTTTTGGAGGGAGGGAGCTACGCAAAGGGAACTTCAATGAAAATATAATTAAATATTAAAAATTCAATAAAACATGATTTAAAGAAGATGGCAGCGTTGATGGGCCCGGTCGGCTGCGAAGCTCTCAGGTATCAAGAACACCGTACTCTCGGAAGATCTGACTCTTAGAAGAAGGGTCATTCTCGCCCAATTAAGGATAGGCCATGCTAGGCTGACACACGAAGATTGTGTTTGCAGTGAAAGGTTGGTCAATGTGTCTCACCTAATTGAAGGGTGCAACTCCTTGGCTTGTATAGTACTGATAGTTTTGGGTATCTAGCTTGGGTTGAGAGTGAATGTATTTATTGGAGTGAATGTGTAAGTGTGCCAATGGCGGTATATGGTGGAGAATATAGTGCTTTCCAATCCCCCCCCAATTTAAGAGTGAGTGAGAGTGTGAATGAGTTCAGATCTAGGAAATACGTTGGGTGTTGAATTGGCCTAGCTATTGACAGGACTCTAAGCTCAACCTCGCTATTGGACGGAGGCTGAGCGAGGTCTGACCCCGGACTGCCGACCCCAGGATGGGTGATTCTCGAGGCCGCCGTTTGTTTATTGAAAATTAGAAAAGCGAGAAGTGATACCTCGACTGTACACACGAGTACATATCTCTAATCTAAATATGTCACTAATTCTAGTTCAATATAAAAAATAACCTGTCTTAGCAATTTGATTGCAACATGTTAACAAAAAGGCAAACAAGGGAAATGCGACTCGGACATGGGACATTGAAAAATGGCAAAAAGGAGGGAAAATTCAAAAGGTCGGGTTGAGATGGGAAGTTGGTGTCCGAGTGGATCGAAGTCACGATAGCTCAAGTGGTAGAAGGTCGTGGGTTCGAATCCCGCTCGTGACCCTGACTTTTTTATCTCAACCAACACCTTACATTTCGATCTTTATTGAGATCATCGTCAAGGCTCAAATTGTTTTCCGTGTAGATGTGTCATTCTTGTGTGTCGTGTTGAGAGTGCCAGTGAGATATTGAGATACTACACGGAAAACAAACATTTTGAGCCCTGAAGATGATCTCAATAAAGATCGAAACGGCACGATAAAGAAAATGTTTTTCTAAAACCTACGTCATACCAGACCGCATCTCACGATCTCCGAATAATCAATGTATGTTTATTTGAGATCCTTATTCAAATATCCTTTAGATAAACGAGCCGTTATCAGTCAAACTGTAATTGCTAATAGTTCAACAGCACGATTAACACGGTTAGCCGCCGTATTCAGAGCATACGGTCTAAGTTAATTACCCGTATCCCGATCCCCTGTACCGTCCAAACCGGTTTAAGGCTAGCAGTTTTCTTTGATTCTCGGTAATGTTTTATCGCAGACATAAGGTCGCCAATGGACGTAACGAACACACACACACGCGCGCGCGTAAAAATCATAACTTGTAATTTTTAAATATGTATTTAATAACATTTAGTCACATTTTACTGTTTTTTCATCTCAATATGAGAATTTTAAGGCAATTTGTTATGCTCAAAATCATCTTTGCACATTGAATCGAAAATTTCTCAACAATGGAAACTCACGCGTATTAATGTTTATTGCTAGATATATTTCACAACGATGACAACCTTGAAGTAAAAATCAAAATACATATAAGTAAACTGTAGGGTGAGAAAAATATCTAAAAAAATAACCATTCTCTTTATTTATTGTGTGTAAGATTAATATGCGATCTCTGGGTATAATCTAATTTATACACTGAAAGACAAAAAAAAAAAAAAAACAAAAAACCGGAAATTCTTATTTTGTGTTTTCCGTGTTATACATATTCAAACTATATGTAGTATTTTTTTAGTTTTATTAATTACAAAATATTTGTAAAACAAATTAAAAGAGATCAGATATTCACGGGTTTTAATTAAATTCGAGTTTTGGCTAATTGGTAATAACAAAGGCAAAAAAATTAATGATTTGAAAGAAAATTCACAAAAACGCTGTAAAATCATTAAATAAAATCATTAAAATTTAACTATTTATTCTATCATAATTAAATCATTTTTAATAAAACTCTTGAATTTTTGATTTCATTTAATTTGGTTTGCATTAAAACAAGTAAATTGTAATTAATATAAAAACAAAAATACACATAGTATGAAATAAACAACAAAACACGAGTGTTCGTTTTTTTCGTCTTTGAATATATAGAATTTGGTTAGCGTAAGAGACTCTCGGCTCGTGGACCCCGCGGTCGTGGGTTCAATTCCCGCCGTCGCCTCTGGACTTTTTTGCACGATACCCTTCCCCCCAAAACGAATATGCATAACATATTGTCTGGGATTGGCTAATATGCATAGTTCATAAAGCCGTAAAAAAAGAAAAAATATATATAGATTTTTTTTAAATATTGTAAAAGGTGTTTTGATAGTGAAAATACCGATTGATCGAATCGTCAATGATGTGCCATCTCGTATGGCTCGTTTGTCAACATAAAATATGACTGGCTTAATCGAGATACGATTAAAAAAATCTTAGAAAGGTAAATCGCCCTAATTGTGCTTCACGATTCATTATTCGCCCATGAACCGGTTGAATGATAAAATAAACAAAATTCAAGGCGTAGCCGAATCGGCAAAATTGCATGACTTCCCGGCTCGGCGGGCAATTTGGATAATAGCGTTGAACCGTAACAAAAACTATTTATTTATTTTTTAAAATAGTTTTGTCGTTTCCTTTTATTTTAGTCTGCCCATCCCCGCGTTTTTGGTTCATCAGACGCGTTTTTGATTCTCGGCATCTTCAGTGGTGAGTTTGTGAGTTACTGTAAAGTATGGAAAATCGGCGGACCGAAATGTCGGAAACGACCACACCACATTTATATATCACACATATTGATATATAGTAAATAATTATTTCATTTACATTTTAGTGGTCAATTGACCAAGTTCCATCTTTCAATTAATTATTCTTTCCATGTAAGGTCTTGGTTGGAATAAAAAAGTCATTGTCACGAGCGGGATTCGAACCCACGACCTTCGGCTAAATACGCCGCTACTTCATAAGTCTCTGAGAACCCAATCCGATTACTCGACATTGAAAACTGGCAAAAGAGGGAAGGTTCGAACGGTTGTAGGTTGAGATGGAGAATTGGTGTCCGAGAGGATCGAAGTCACGATAGCTGAAGTGGTAGAGTAGCGGCGAATTTAGCCGAAGGTCGTGGGTTCGAATCCCGCTCGTGACACTGACTTTTTTATCTCAGCCAAGACCTTACATAGAAAGAATAATTAATTGAAATATGTAAATAATTATCAGGGGATTCTTAATCATCTATATTNACCAAAACCTTAATTCAAGATTAATTAATTGAAAAGAATTTATTTGGTCAATCGGACTACGAAGCCTAATCGATTCATAATAAATATTAACAGTATTGAATTATCTTGCGATCATAATTATTTTAAAAATGGTCGATTTAGAAGAAAAATGATCAATGAAGAACTTGAAAAGGATAATAAATTGAATACTCACTTCTTGCTATGGGGGCGTTTTTGACCTGAAAAAAATTGTCATCATTACTAAACAAATCAAATTAAATTGTGCTAATAATAAACATTAAGATATTTCTAATAACTATAAAATACATAACGTGTGGTGTTTTGTGACCGTTAGCCAATGATTATTTGGAGATCGTGAGGTGAGGTCTGGTGTGACGTAGGTGTTAGAAAAACATTTTCTTTGTCATGCCAACGTTTCGATCTTTATTGAGATCATCTTCAGGGCTCAAAATGTTTGTTTTCCATGTAGATGTCATTCCTGTGTGTCGTATTGAGAGTGCCCTGAAGATGATCTCAATAAAGATCGAAACGGCACGATAAAGAAAATGTTTTTCTAAAACCTACGTCACACCAGACCACACCTCACGATCTCCAAATAATCATTGGCTAACGGTCACTAAACACCACAAAAAAATGATAGAATTGTTGTCGTTGTGTAGGACACATTTTTGTAAATGAATCTAGAAATTTTCAATGGCAGTGTTAAATGTTGATCTATCAGAAAATCTCGAAAACTCCTCCAATTAAAAATACACAATGTTCAAATCTGCAACTTAAAAAAATGTATTTATATTTGCTTATTTTTTATTTATTTGTGTAAGTTCAATTCAATAAATACGCATATGTGCAGAATGGAGCTTATAACTTCTGAATTATAGTTGGGCAATTTGACGTCTGTCCGACGCAAAGTTTAAAAGCATTTCGGCTCTCAATGCAAGTTTTTTTAACTATGCACAATCTCATTCATCCTTAAACACATTATTTCCTATTTACATACAGTCAACTAGGATGGTGGAATACTCGATATTTTTCATCATCCGCTACGTATACTACGACCAGGAAACTATAAAGTAAGTTCGACCTCAGCAGTGAGTAAAACATTTTCAGGGGATTTTTCAGTTCTATACCCGAAGTTTTCCGTATTAGGAAGATCGACCCATTTTTCACTCACGAACATTCCGGATCAAGATATGGTCTTGAAAAAAAAAACCTTCGACCTATTCTAACATCATCAGGGTAAAACGATCTTAAATATGTCTACAGGTGGTAATTTTTTACAGGCTATCTCAAATTTCCTTCAAGACCGACTCAGTCCTAACGTTGCCAAGGAATGTAACGTTACATTTACAAGGTTGTTCAAGACCATACCTTGATCCAGTTTGTTCCTATCTGAAGTGACCGATGAACTATTTTTTCTACTTGCTTTCCAGAAATGTGCGGCTGTCATCTTAACTTTTGATTGAGGATCCTCGCGGACTCTACGTACCTGCAAAAGTGGTGGCACACGATTTTTGAGGAGAGAAATCCTTCAAGCCACCATTTATGGTCAGAATCTTTATATTTCATAATAAATCGGGATACAAATTTGAAGAGAATTAAAATATACATTTCTACATCAACGTTGATTAATTTGTTACAATGCATCCACAAACAGCAAGAGGATCGGCACAGCGGACGACGTGATCCAGAAATATTAAACTGCGGACAATTAAAATTTTGATTTTAAATATTTTACAAATATATAAAGATTATGAGCAATATGAACCTATTAGCATTATAATGCCATTCACGAAAACTCAGTCGATTTCTCGTATGTACCTACGAAGTGAAGATGATAGTCTGGTAGATTTTTAGACGTTTGTAATAATAATAATAAAGTGGGAAGTTTATGGGCCGACAAACAGCTGAGGTCATTACCAGTCCTCTGCGTGTTTTCCTTCTTTTTTCTTCTTTCGGGCGTATTTTGTTTTAAACTGGAGCAATTTGAGCGTCTCAATCTGGTTACTTACTCTGTTTAAATATATACTACGTTGATATCCTAGAATGCTAGTCTCTCGTTTGTACCTCAGGTTGTCAAATACAGAATAGAAACAAAACATACAATACGTATAAATACATCACCACAAACATAGATGTCTGGTCACATTCACTCCCCAGAGTGCTCGATATTCCTCGGGGCGGGGTTATAAACAACCCCTTACTTTCACGCTAATAAATTACTTTTACTCTCCAGACGTCATACACTCACCCCAGAGTACTCGATATTCCTCGGGGCGGGGTTGAACCCACTCCATTCGCGCTAATAACTTACTTTTACTCTCCAGACGTCACACACTCACCCCAGAGTACTCGATATTCCTCGGGGCGGGGTTGAACCCACTCCATTCACGCTAATAAATTAAATTCAGTCCAATAAATTAACACAAACACAACACTCGATGGAAACATAGAAGTCTGTTCACATTCACTCCCCCCAGAGTGCTCGATATTCCTCGGGGTGGGGTTATAAGCAATCCCTTCCTTTCACGCTAATAAATTACTTTTACTCTCCAGACGTCATACACTCACCCCAGAGTACTTGATATTTCTCGGGGCTGTGTTATTAACAACCCCTTCCTTTCACGCTAATAAATTACTTTTACTCTCCAGACGTCACACGCTCACCCCAGAGTACTCGATATTCCTCGGGGCGGGGTTATAAGCAACCCCTTCCTTTCTCGCTAATAAATTAAATTCAGTCCAATAAATTAACACAAATACAACACTCGAAGGAAACATAGAAGTCTGGTCACATTCACTCCCCCCAGAGTACTCGATATTCCTCGGGGTGGGGTTATAATCACCCCTTCCTTTCATGCTAATAAATTACATCCATTCCAATAAATGAACATAAAGTAAACACAGACAGAACACAAACACACATAAAAAACTATATACATTTAAAAATCCCTATAGCCCTGAGGTACACGAAGATGTGTGCCCGCTGCCGTGCCCGAAGACTACGCACAGGTCCGATGATATGCCAAAATATTGTCTTCATACGTCAAGCCTTTTACAATTGAAAAGGTGGTCGACCGTTATACTATCCTTGCATAACGGGCACCTACGCTTTCTGGCTATAACGTGCCCGTGCGTTATTCTTGTGTGACCTATGCGTAGTCTTGTGAGTATGGCCTTTTCTCTTTTCGAACCGTTCTCCGTGGACCAGGGACCGACTTCTTTCTTAACCAGTCACAGTTTGGCAGGGTTATATATATTTCTACGAGCCTAGCGATTTTCCCATTCTCTTTGTACAGAATTTGAAATTAATAGTTTTTAGATTTTGTTAAATTAGGCGTTTATAGATTTGCATTTAATGTATTTAATTACCTAAACCACTATATTCTCTATTTTTTTATTCTTTGAGGCTTGCTCAATTCCCAAACCAGTATAAAACCAGTTATGCCGTTACTAACAGTAAAAGTGAAAATATAAATAATGTAAATAATTACCAAGCAATGTGTACAATGCCAATTATACTTAACTTATTTATTTAGGTTTATTTATTTAAGTACATAATTTAAGCAAAACATTTTAGATGCATTTCATCAATAATATCAAATGGATGTAATTTATACAGATTTTAAAAAAGCATCGACGCAGCATGATTTCGTACTGGGGGTGTATGTAACCAGACGTTTATGTTTATGCCGGGTGGTGATATATGTATTGTATGTTTTATTCTGCAGTTGACATCTTGAGGTACAAATGAGATGCTAGCATTTTAGCATATCGACTTATTTATGTTACCAAAGCAGAGAGAGAGTAATACATCGAATGAAATGGCTGCAGGGTTAAAACATGCGTGGAAGAGAAGTAAAAACACGCACAAGGTCTGCAATGACATCAGCTCTTTTTCGGCCCTCAAATTCCCACATTATTATTATTATCACAAGGTAATTAATATTATACGATTCTACCCCTATTGTTAAATTTCTCAATAACCGACAATTATGAACCTCTTGAAACCCAAGACAAAAATAAACCTTTGGTATATTCTATGAGAACTAATTATGTAAATCATAGCCTATTAAACAGTGCATTACGATTACAAAATGATTCTCAGATTGAAGAATTTAATAATCTTAGTTTTGAATTGCATTAAAAAAATTGAACATGGTAGTTAATAAAGCGTTATAATTTGTATGTATAGACTACAAGTGCGCATTTAATATTACGTTTCAAATATGCTTTTCTGCATTTGTCTCCCCTCAGAATTAATGAACTGAATTTCTATACATGCATAATAGAATTTCACGAAAAATTTACTAAATGCCATGTTTAACGAAACTTACAATTGATTTGACTATGTTGTACCACTCACTAGAGATTTCAACGTTATTCAGTATTCTTTTTATGTAAGGTCTTGGTTGAAATGAAAAAGTTAGTGCCACGAGCGGGATTCGAACCCACGACCTTCGGCTCAGCCGCTCTTAACCACTTGAGATGTCGTGACGTACGTAGCCGAAGGTCGTGGGTTCGAATCCCGCTCTAACCACTTGATGTCACGACATCTCAAGTGATAGAGCAGCGGCGTATTTAGCGGAAGGCCGTGGGTTCGAATGCCGCTCGTGACACTGACTTTTTTTCTCTCAACCAAGACCTTTCATGGAAAGAATAATTAATTTAATTTTATATAACTTTCGTCATGTGCGATATAATTTAATTCTTCAAATTTATAATCTCGTCGTGTAACAGAATGATTCAAATTTTGAAATTTTCTCTTTGTTGCACAAGGCACGTTAATTCGATACTCTCGGACACCAACTTGCCATCTCAACCTCACCTTTCGAGAGTTTAGTGAAGTATACTTCATTTTGCTTATTACATCTATTAGGTTTCGTGGTCCGATTGTCCAAATAAATTCTTTTCAATTAATTAATTTTTAATTAAGGTTTTGGTTGAGTTAAAAAATCAGTGTCAGGATCGAAGTCACAATAGCTCAAGTGGTAGAGCAGCTGCGAATTTAGCTCAAGGTCGTGGGTTCGAATCCCGCTCGTGACACTAACTTTTTTATCTCAACCAAAATCTTAATAAAAAATTAATTAATTGAAAAGATTTTATTTTATGTATTACTTATTTTGCGCGAAGTACAATATTTACGCCTTTATTTTTGTGAACCGTTCCACCAGTTTTTATTTCTCGATACCTTTCGTGAGGGACCGTGTAAATATATTTG